AGTTCTTTTTGTATTATTTCAATTATGAGTTTTACTTGTTATATTTGGATTGATCTAATTTTTATAAATAATATGATACACAATTATAATACGATGCTTAAATTATTATTTTAACTGTTTATTTTTAATACAAATCAGAATTTCAATTAAATTGTATTATTTCAATTATAAGTAAAAAATTTCACAAAATATCAAATCAAATGGATAAGTTTATTTATAAAGGGAAGTATTTTTTACTATTGTATAATTTTTTACCTTTTGAAATTATCAACTTTTATATCACTTTAATTTACTCTTTTAAATCATATTTTTTTATAAACACAAAAATGACTACAAGAAAATTTGGAAGGATAATAAAATTGATTTATTAGTTGATAAAAGAAGAAAGAGAATAAAGGGTATCATGTAAGGTACAGAGATAATAAGACAGGATTCTGAAGGAGTATAGCTTGACAAATCAATCAAAGAGATGGTATTATTATACCTAAAGAATGATGATTTTATCGTTCCTAAGGAACAATGGTATTATCATACCTAAGGAACAATAGTTTTATTGTTCCTTAGGGACGATGATATTATCGTCCCTAAGAAATAATGGTATTATCGTTCCAACGAACTAAACTTTCAGATTAAACTGATTTGCTAAAATAATATTGATTTAATATACTATTTAAGTTTTTTTCTGGTATATAAAAATATTTATATAAATAAGCTTAATTTTTTAAATAATTTTAATCATTTCCAAATTTTCTTTTTTTACATTCCACCAAAATCCTAAAAAAAATCGTCCTAAGAACAAAAAGACCTAAGTTGAATTTTAGTCAATTTTCGCCTTCAACTATCAAAATCAGAAGAAGAAAAAGCTGTATTTTAGTCAACTTTTCAAAAATAAACTGATTTTTTTTTACTTTTTATAATAGAAATATGCCTCCAACCATCAAAATCAGACGAAATTTAAGTTGAATTTTAGTCAATTTTTCTGATTTTTATAATAGAAACATACCAAATCAGATGAAAATTAAGTTGAATTTTTCTGATTTTTTTACTTTTTATAATAGAAACATGCCAAATCAGACGAAAATTAAGTTGAATTTTTCTGATTTTTTTTGCTTTTTATAATAGAAACATGCTTTCAACCATCAAATCAGATGAAAATTAAGTTGAATTTTTGTGATTTTTCTGATTTTTTTTACTTTTTTTTCAAAAATGCCAATATTACTATAATAAATATTTAGGATGATTTAAGGGGATTTTAAAAGGAAAATGGATTTTTTTTTATTATTTTACATGGTTTTTTCATTTTTTACTTATATTTTTTAGATAGAAAATTAATCAGTAGGTTTTGGTAATATTTATGTTATATTTTTACGAATTATATTAGATTTTTATTATTAATAAAATTATAATATTTAATAAATTTAATAAATATAATATATCGATTTTATATACTTATTTGATTGAATTGATACCAAATTGAGGCCAATTTTAGGCTGATTTATGGTTATTTAAATTCCGAATTAATGCCGAATGATGTTATATTAAGGTCAATTTTAAGCCGATTTATGTTATTTAAGTTTTGAATTAATGCCAAATGATGCTGAATTAAGGTCAATTTTAGGCTGTTTTATGGTTAAATTTAATCTGAATGGCTATGTCTGATTGGAGTCGATTAGCATCTATCGACGTCTGAATTATTGCCGAATTGAGACCAGTTTTAGGCTGATTTATAGTTGAATTTAAGTTCTAAATGGTCATGTCTGATTGGGGTCAATCGGCGTCTATCAGCATCTGTTTGTACCGATCGAAAAATATGGCAAATCAGCCATAAATAGTATCAAAATCAGCCTAAAATCAGCCATCTGATTTTTAGCCGATTTGGACTATTTCGACTAGTATCAAATTCTATTATCACATTTGTATCAATTTGCCAAATGCTAACTAATTAACAAATATTTTTAACATTTTCCATTCTACCACAAGTTTGTAATTTATCATCTACTAAATTAACAAGAACATATGATAATAATAAAGTTGTTGATTTTGATTCACAATTGGTTTGCTTTGTTTCTTGATAGTATTGGAGATGGAGTTTTTGTTGGTATTGATGGAGGTGGAATTCCTGTTGGTATTGGTGAAGGTAAAATATCTGTTGATATTAGTGAAGGTAGTGGTGGTGACGGTGATGATAGTGATGGTGAAGCTGAAATTTCTATATCCTCAATATCATCTTGATAATCATCATTTTCATCACTAACTATAATTTCTTGTTCAAGCTCTGCTTGTATTTTAATATATTCTTCTTGGTTAAATACAAATGGTTCTAGTTCAGGTAACTCATTAAATGCTTGTTTATCAAAAGATTCTCAACTTACGTCAGAATCATAGTCAGAAAAGTCTTCACTTTCTTCAGAGTCATGAAATTCTGTTTTATTTAATAATTAGATGTCTCTTTCTGCAAAATTAAAGTTAAAAGAGAAGCTAGCACCCTTCATTAACCAAATTTATTTAAAATTGCCAAAAAATTTTACACACATCTTTTATCTATAAATATTTTTTCTAAAATCTCTCCTATTTTCTCAAAAATTCTTATTTTATAAACAAAATTATTACAGATTTTTAAACTCATAATATTTTTAAAATGATTCACATCAATATTAGTTCAAAAGATTCTTGTAAAAGAAAGCAATTATGGAAAAAGTAAAACTGAAAATAAAAGTAGTCATCTCTGAATTATAAGCAGACCTATTTGATTAACTATAGTACAATAGGTTAATGTTGTAAAATAGATCTGAAATATTGTGTATTTATATTTATCTATATGATTTTGGGCATTTCGATTTTATAATAGATTATTTTTGATATGCAGATTATCAGACATGTCACTTGACTATTATACAATATATACAGTCAGACCTGCCTACAATCATCCCATATATAATCTCATCCTGTATACATATAGTTAATATATATAAATAGAAATTCTTTCATCATTTTTTTGCTAAATTTAATAATCATAAATGATTTTTTTTCTTTTCAATAAAAATAATATAAAATGATATCATTCTTTCTTTTAAATATTTCTTTGTTCTCTTTATATGTCACAATGGTAAAAAAAAGACATCTATAAGTGATGAAGTAAAATACGAAATTTACATCTATCAAACCAAAAATCCATATGTATCCTATGAAAATATTGCAGCATATTTTAACTGGTTTCACAGTCTAAATATTCAAAGGTCTACAATTACTAAAATTTTAAAAGAGAAAGAATGATGGCTTTCAATAGCAAACACTTCAATTCTAATCTACAGACATCGTGAAGTAAAGTATCCTTTACTTAATTAAGCACTTTCTATTTGGGTGAGACAAGCATTATCAAAGAATATGATTTTATCAGATAATATTTTACGAGAAAAAGCTAAAGAATTTGTAAGAAATTTAAATATAGCAGAGAATATGATGGGATTTTCAAATGGATGGCTAGGTGGATTTAAATCTTGAAATAATTTAAGAAGGCAATAGATACATAGTGAAGCGAATAGCACCCCTTTATCTACATTAGCAGAATCACAAACTGAATTGCAAGAATTAATTTTCAAATTTTATCCAAATAATATGTTTAATTGTGATGAGACTGGATTTTTTTATCATATGACACCTAATTAAACATTTGCATCTAGACCTGTTTTTGAAATAAAAAAGGTAAATTTTATATTTTTTAACTATTATATTATATTATTATATTAATCAGTTATAATATTAAACTAATGTTTTATTGTTATAAAAGAATAAAATTAGAGTTACTATACTTTTAAGATGTAACTCAAATGGAATAGAAAAAATCAAGCTGTTAGTGATTGAAAAACCATGTTATTTTTAATGGAATCAACTTGCATAATCTACCAATTTCTTATTATTGGAGTAAAAAAGCATGGATGACATAAGATATTTTTTACCATTGGATTAAAACTCTTAATAATAAGTTTTGAATTCAAAAGCAACAAGTTTTAATAATATATCAACATATATAGAATCAAAGAAAAAAATGACGACAATTTAAATAAAGTAAATAAATAAATTGTTATTATAATTAAACATACTGGTTTTATTTTATATATATTATATAAATTAACAATTAATTTTTTAGATTTCTGATTCTGATGAAAATTCAGTTATCGCAAAATTATCACATATAGCTAAAAATAAAAAATAAAAAAACCATGTAGTATCTAAACTAAAAAAATCTCGTAAACTATTTAATAATTTATCTCAGCTATTAGAACTCATGAATATTACTCTCAAGTATTTTCTGCCTAATACTACTTCTCATTTGCAACTAATAGACCAAGGCATAATTAATAATTTTAAGGTTAGTGTCTTTTGAACAATAAGTTAAATTTTTTTATTAAATATTTAATTATTTTTTTAAAATATAAGGTTAAATATAAACAATACTATTGTTAACATTTAATAAAACAGTTCGATAATGAAGAAGATATGAACTGGTAAATACTTTTATTAATTATAAATTTATAATAATATATAACTGTATATTAATAATAAAGTGAAACTAATTTATTTATTTTTAAATTAAAAAATTTGAATTTATTAAAAGCGATTAATTATCTATCAGACGCATAGTTAAATGTATCACAAAATACAATTTCAAATTGTTGGACTAAAACAGGAATTTTGCTAACGGTGAATCATATTCAAAGAGAAGTTGCTTCTGATCAACTTAATATTAAATTAGATACTGAATTTGAAGAAATTGATGAGCTTCTTGAAATTTTACCTAATGTTGCTACACTTTTTTTAAATGATATTGATGATTATACAAAAGAATTGGAAGAATTACCAATTGAAAAATTTTTAGATGATAAACAAATTATTAAATACGTGGCTAAAGATTCTTATGAGGAAAATATAACTGATAGTAAATTTAAACCTGAAATAATTAGTATAAATGAAGCAGCGCAAAGTTAAAAAACCTTCATTACTTTTTTTATTCAACAACCAGATACTGTAATTCAGATTTTTGTTATGAAGATTTAAAAATTTTTAATAAATATTCAAAGTTAATGAATATCAAACTATTTGAAAATAAAAAGCAAACTAATATTGATTCTTTTTTTGTATAATAGATTGATCTATTTGTTAATAATGTATATAATAATATAATGACATTAATATAATAATAAATAATATTTTATATAATTATCACAGTAAAACTTTAATATGAATTGTGATTATAAATAGTTTTACTATACAATCACCTCTATTTATAGTCACCAATTTTTGGCTAATCAAAAGTGGTGATTATAGACAGGTCTGACTGTATATGTTATACTATTAAAAAAGAGAAGTTTAATTCATTAAATTTTATATGTAAATGCTGATCATTTATCGAATTTGTCAATGTCAATCTGTAATATTTCTCTGATTGATAACGAATATCAAAATTTAAAATATTGTAACTGTTAATCTCAAAACTGTTGATCTTGTTCAGAATAGGATTATTTATTTGTTAATATTTGAATAATTTGAAAACTGTATATTATTTTGATTATTCAATCATCTTATTCATCTGAAATTGATTTTCGTCTGAATTCCAACTTCAGACAACTTATAAAAAAACTATTTTAACTAATATGCTAATTTCTTTTATAATTTCGTAAATACAATTAACATTAAATTTTATATTTTAGACTTTTAGCTTTTAGCTAAATTATAATTTAATTTTGTGACATTTATTTATTAAATTTTGTAGTATTAAATTTCCAATATTATTTTATTATTTCTTCTTTTTTAAGGATGTTATTTTCTTTTCTTTTATTTTTTATTATTTTATTTATTTTATTTTATTTTTTTAAAATTTTTAAACACATTTAAGAGTAGTACAAAAATGGGAGTTCTAAGGTTAAAATTTGAAATTATATTCAGAAAAGATTTTCAGCTATATTTTTGAAGCCTTCTAGCTATAAGAATCCTCTATAGAATTTAGAACTCTAATCCATATTTTAGCTTTTCTCACTATCTAATATTTGGTATTAAATTTAACATTAAATTACCTTACCAGATACCAAGAATAAATCCATCTCTTATAGCCTTTCTAGCCCAATTTTAATCTCAAATAATATATTAAAAAAATTATACCATTCTGTTTGAGTTTGAAATGATGCAAAATTTGCAAGAACTGAAGGTTCAAAGCCAAGCTCATAGAGTCTCTGCAAACCTTCTATGTATATTATTATTTATGCTATTCTAAAATTAATTCTAAAACTGATTCATTGATAAAATCAAAGGATTACTAAGTCTAACCTTTGGAATTCATATGCTAAGTCTATCCTCAAAAAGGTTAGATTTAGCTGTTATTAAATTCATAGTTTTAAAAGTTATAGAATATATTCTAGTATATCATTATTTTTTGATATGCAGAAAACCTTTCTAAAACCATTTGCATTATGCAAACTTATGGTCAAAAAATCTAACCTCAGGCATAAAAAATTAGGTTAGAAATTAGACTTATGAATCAGAGATTAGATTTAACTGTTATCCAATTCATAGTTTAAGAAGTTATAGAATATATTCTAGTATACTAATATTTTTTTAATATGCAGAAAACCTTTCTAAAGCTATTTACATTATGCAAACGTAAGATCAAAAAAATCTAACCTTAGGTGGTTAGAGGTTAGACCTCACCACTAAGTCATATGAAAAAATTAAACCCCTAAGTCTCATGCAACATGTCTTTGTTCCTCTAAAGTATATATAATAAGTCTCATGCAATGCACTTTCATCCCTCTAAGTCTCACCTGAAAAGTATATCTGATCTAATTGCCTAGCTTATCCTGAAGCTTGTTTACATGATGAATCTGATATTTGCTCTTATTACAATTATTACATAGACCATTATCTATCTCTATAGATTTATCTACCTTTATAGACTTATTACAAATAGAGTATAGCTGATGCTTCTTAGCTTTGAAGTGTAATTAACAACCCACTAGTCAAAATAGTCCAAATTGGCTAAAAATCAGATGGCCGATTTTAGGCTGATTTTGATACTATTTATGGTCGATTTGCCATATTTTCCGATTGGCACAAATAGGTGCTGATAGATGCCAATCGACCCAATCGGATATGGTCATTCAGCATCAATTCAAAACTTAAATTCAACCATAAATCAGCCTAAAACTGGCCTCAATTTGGCAACAATTTAGACGTCGATAGACGCTGATCAACTCCAATTGGACATAGCCATTCAGATTAAATTCAACCATAAATCAGCCTAAAATTGACCTTAATTCAGCATCATTCAGCATTAATTC